GCCCCTGCCGTGGGGGCGCCCGCTCCAGCCCCCCTGCCCGCTTTGGGAGAGCGCGCGTCGGCTCTGGCCTCCTCCCTCCACCTGGCGCCCCCCGCCGCCGCCCCCACCCCTCCGCCCACACTACTACTGCCGAGCCCAAGGCCCATCTCCACACGCCAAGCCCAAGCGCTGCCCACCCGTGCCGGGGCAGCCAGGGCAGGGCACGAAGGGCATCAGAGAGCTGCGCTGCGAGACGCGCCGCAGTAGGGGGACGGCAGGGGTGTTCGGGCAACGGCCATGCGGCTGGCAGAGGGCCTGTGAGACGCCTGCGGGCAGGCCCTGGGCCTCTCTCACTGCACTGGCCTGAAGCCCGACGCCAATCGCCAAAGCGGCACCCTTAGGCCGGGCCCCTGCTCTGGCCTTTGGCCTGCCACAATTGCTAAGGCAAATGCCACAGCTGTAAGGCCTTTTGCGAGCTCCTAGGCCAGCCCACAGCCTGATCCCTCAAGCGCCCTCGTGAGGGACTCCTCCATGTCTTGTGTTCCGGCGGGCCGGGAAAGGGAGGGAGGGCGACAAATGTATCGCCTAGGCGTTCCCGCCGAGCAAGAAGGGTGCTGTTACAGAAGGGAGCGAGAAAGGTTGCGTGAGGAAGTTTATCAGCAGCCGGAGGTGTGAGTGCTCACAACCCTGCCATCCCAGGGATCTGCCTGCAGCATGGTCTGGCCTCCGGTATGCGCCATCCTGTAGGGGTGGCGACGAGGTGTAGACTGGCAGGTGCAGTGGCCCACGGCTGTGCAGCACTGGCCCCTCTACTGTGACTGCGGCACAGGGCCACATGGCACCCGGGTTGCCCAGAAATATGAGGCCAGGAGTGCCGAGGGGCCGTAGGGAGGGGCTTGGCCCCCAGCAGGCCATGGTCCTGGCAGTGCCCCGCGGCTCTGCAGCCTGGCGGCCATGACTGGCTCTCCCAGGTGAAGCCCCCATCTTGTGGCCCTCACAAGTTTCCCCGCACCCTCTGCCCCTTGCAGGCCTTAGCCCTTGTCTCTGCTTCTGGATTTTAAGGCGTTGCTTTCCCACCCTTCCTCTTTCTCTTGCTTTGTTTTCGTGTGTTGGTCAGTGCTCTTTTTTTCCTTTTTACACATGTCCTATTTGCTGCCCACCGAGACTTCCAGGAGCTTTGGTGCAGAGGAGCTACCCAGACCTTCCTGCCTATGGCTGCACTTTGCATTTCTGCTGGTGAACCTCAGGAGTTTCCTGTCAGCCCATTTCTCTAGCCTGTCAGGGTCCCTCTAAGAAGCAGCACTCTCATCCCACCTATCAAATATTCCCCCCAATTCAGTACCATCCCCAGATATGCTGATAATGCACTCCTGTCTCTCATTAAGCCTATCATGTCCTGGCATCAGCTTTGCACCCTGAAGAACAGTGTTGATCACCAGCCTACCATTCTTCTGCTACTGAAGACATCCCAGCGGCTCAGGCAGATTTCCATACACTTTTTGGTGCTCTTCTGTAGTCACTAGCTCCTCAGTTTGGCTCTCAGAAGAATCTGTGAGACAGCGTCAAAGGCCTTGCTAAAATCAAGGTGACTACAAAACTGGGAGGAGTGGCTGAGACACCAGAGGGTTGTGCTGCTGTTCTGAGGGACTGGTGAATCAAGTACAATAAAGGGAAGTGCAGTGCACTGCACCTAGGGAGGAATAACCCTGTGCACTAGCACAGGCTGGAGGCTGATCTGCTGGAGACTGCTCTGCAGAGGACCTGTGGGGACACCACGTTGACCATGAGTCAGCAATGCACCCTCAGGGCAAAGAAGGCCAACAGCCTCTTGGGCTGCATAGGAAGAGCATTGCCAGCAGGTTGAGGGAGGGGATCCCTCCCCTCTACTCAGCACTGGTAAGGCCACACCTGGAGTACTGTGTCCAGGTCTGGGCTCCCCAGTGCTAGAGAGGTAGGGAGCTACTGGAGAACCAGATGAAGGGACTGGAGCATCTCTCATGTGAGCAGAGGCTGAGAGAACTGAGATGCTTCAGCCTGGAGAAGGGAAGGCTTGTGGGGGATCTTCTCAGCATGTTTCAATATCTGAAGAGAAGGTGTAAAGAAGACAGAGCTGATGCTCAGTTACAGGACAAGAAGCAATGGGCACAAAGTAAAACACAGGAAGTTCCATCTGAACATAAGAAAACTTTTCCTTACCATGAGGGTGGTCAAACACTGGAACAAGTTGCCTAGAGAGGTTATGTGGTCTCCATGCTTGGAGATATCAAAACTTGGCGAGACACAGTCCTGGGCAACCTGCCCTAGCTGACCCTGGTTGAGGCTAACCCTGGTTCCAACCCCAATTATTCTGTGACTCTGTGTGAGTAATACCCACTGCTCTGACCTTGACCGTGGAACCTGTCATCTCCTCAGGGAAGGAAATCAGGCATCAGTCAGTCAGGCACATGTCAGGCCCTTGGCAATTCCCTGCTGGCCTGTCCTACTCCCTGTCTTGTCTTTCCTGGTCTTGGAAATGGCTTCCAGGAGGAATTCTCTCCATCACCTCCGCAGGGAACAAAGAGAGACTACTGGCCATGCAAGTCTGCCTTTTCTCAGGCTTCAGGAACCTCCCCTGATTGCTATATCTTTTTACAGGTT